GTGTGAGAGATTTTCAGACTCCTTTCAATCAAGTATTTGCTGGGTCACCCCATGAAATTTAATTTGAAGAGTCCTAGGGCTAAAAAAATTTTTGTTTTAAACTTCTGGCTTGACAGTTCATTTCTGCAATAGGACCCTCAAACACTTTACCCCCAGGCTAAGCTAGGTGGTTGAGGTCAGGCCACAGGACAGCAGTTTGGGGTGAGGAATTAGCACACAGCAGATCAGCCCCCACAGGTGGCTGCTCCCTCCACTCCGAGGGGGGCTGGACCTGGCTTGGAAAACAGGAAGGGATTCCCACACCAGGGGACATTGGGGACTTACCTTCCCGACACTGGTACTGCACATGTATAGACAGCTGCCCTGGGTGGGGCACAGGTCTCCAAAGAAGGTCTCATTTGCTGCCATCTGGCATGCCTGAAGCCCGAAGCCCCTGGTGCTGGCCTGGGAAGTACCCGCATCCCAGAAGAAACAGGAAGGACATAAAGCGATAAGCTCAGACAAAGAAGATTGACCTTGCATTCATTCATTCATTCATTCATTCATTCATTCATTTACCCACCATACACCCAACAAATATCTGTTGGCGTCTCCTGAAGACCAGGCACTGTGCTAGGTACTAGGAGAGAAATAGGATTCCTGCCTTCAAGTAGCTCAGGGTCCAGCACAGTGTCTCGCAAGCTTGAGAATGTATCAGAATGCCCTGGAGGATTCCTGAAGACTCAGCCTTCCAGACCCCGCCCGCTGCGATTCTGAGTCAGTCGATGTGGAGGGCCCCTTGAGAATTTGCGTTTCTAATAAGCTCCCAGGTGATGTTCATGCAGCTGGCCCAGAGACTCCACTTCGAGAGCCACTTGTCCAGTGGCATCTAGTCAAATGGTCTAAAGTTGAAACCTACACCCTGAGAACTGGCAAAGAGAGGACAAGAGGAGGAAACCTGTAGCTACAGGGATACCAGGTAACCACAGAGGGGAAAGGCCAGGCCAGAAACTTTGGGGTTACCCTAATACCTCTCCTTCCTGCTTATGGAGGTAAATGAAATGCCTCTAGAGAGGCCTGGGAGAAGGGACAGGCAGGTGCCTAGGCCCTGGCTTCATCCTTGGCTTGCAGCAGACCACCTGCTTTCGCGGGACCCTGCAGGCCCAACAGCAGTCATGGCACCAGAGAGGAGAGGTGCCCTGTGTCCTGGAGGACAGAGGTTTCCGAGGCCTTTGCATCCCCCCCAGGAGGGTGCAGAGATCCCCCGCAATCCCTGAAATGGAATCATTGCCATGGGGTACATGCATCTCAGAGGCAGATTTAATCTGAAGGTGAAAAACAAGGTCCTAGAGAAACTCTCCCATGTGAACAACAGATGCCACCAGGAACATTTGTTCAGCATTATTCACAATAGCAAGGATTAAGACACAGCTCTCCACAGAGAAAGAGACAAATTGGGACATAGTTATTCAACAGATGAAATGGATAAACTAGCACAACATGTATGAAGATGGATGCTACACCTCAAAAACATAATGTTCAGAAAAAAAAAAGATAAAGAATGAAAAGAGGAAAAAGGTACATTGCAGAATGACACATACAATATGATACCATGCAATGCAGTACTATATAATGCTTAGGGTTGCATGCATAGAAGGCAGCAATCAAAAAACCACACGTGATTCATACACACGGAATTTGTGACAGGAGCAGACCAGGGAGGGCTGGACAGGAGCCGTCAGCTGTATATCAAATGCTGTGTTGGTTTCTTTAATGAGAAAATGTATAATGGGCCAGCAATAGAATAGTGGAGGGACTTCTATTTTGATGAGTAAATGTACACAGAGTACCTAGCTCAGCACAGGAACTCCTGCTTGATACATGTTAACTGTTCATAGCGTGACCCTGTGCCCATGCTCCAAGACCCTGGAGACTGACAGAGCCTGGAGACAGGCTTGAAGTTGGGGTGGAGGAGGGAGCAGGGACTTCAGGGGGCTGTGATAAAAGGAGAGGGAAGTGGCATAATGCCCAGATCCCTGAAGCTTCCGTGTTTTCAGAAGTACCAGGCAGGGGGAGTTAAGCGTACATGCACTTATTTAAAGCTGAGTGTGGGACACTGAGTAAATGTCCCAGCCCAGAAAGGAGCCTGGGGGCCAGGAGCTTAGAGCTGCGGGTAGGGGATGAGGGTGGGGACTGGGCCCAGGAAGTCCAGAAGCTTCCGTCAAGCCTGGCTTAAGGATCAGGGGACCAGAGGGAGGCTCAGCTCTAAGGCCAGGCCCTGGTGCCAGTCCCCACATGACAGGCAGGACCTGGTGTGGGGCCATGGGTCGCTCCTGCAGGGACTTTTACACACAGTCCCCAGGGAGGGGTCCCCAGGGCCTACATAGGGAGTGAGGCATGAGCAGCAGCTGGAAAGGGCACAAGAACAGAACCATGGGGATTTGGAGGTGGGATGTGGGGGTGGGGTGCTCAGACCCAGGCTGGCCAGGGAGCAGAAAGCAAGGGTAAGTGAGAAGAACAGCCTCCTGGGACAGCGTCTCCCTTTATGGGAAGATTGGAAGAGGAGAGCGAATAGGGCCGAGCACTTCCCCCTAGATGCAGGTATATGAGGAGGAAAGACAGGTTGACAAGCAAGGCTAGTAGGCAGGTAAGTGGACAGGGAGAGCCATGTGAGCTAGAAAGACAGAGTGAGACACAGAGATATTAATACATAGCATCACATAGACAGACAGGCGGGCATTTAGAGAGAAAGAGAGAGACCCAGAAATGGAAGCAGAGAGACAGAGATAGATAGAAACAGAGAGACAAAGAAACAGAGAGACAGAAAGAGACAGGGCGAAGGACGTAGACTCCACGACAGAGGCCAGCTCACCAAACTCGCAGATGAAGGCGAATGGCTGTGTGCAGTTGTCCAAGGCAGCCCACCCGGAGGAAGGGCCCCTCCCAATGTACCCGCAGGTGTTGGGAGCTGGAGCAGCCTGCCCTTCGTGCCAGTGACTGTAGTTCACATTTAAGGTGTCCAGCGAGATCCCCGGCCCTGGGATGGGAACACGAGCACCGGGACTTGGAAGCGTTCTCCTGATGCCTTTTTATATACAGGCCTGCCCCAGCTCAGCTCCTTATGGGCAGCAGATAATCAATGCAGACAGGCTGAAGTCCTCAATTTCCCATGCCAGCCAAGGGGCATTTCCTAGCTGTTATCTTCCAACAATCAAACATAAGAACTCGACCTACGTTCTGGGATGCCAAAGTGGAGAGCCCATACAAAATTAAATAAATGATACTTTCGGCCTTATCTAACTATAATCTAAAAAAGAGCATAAAAATGTGCCTCAGGATGTTAAAAGGTGTTCCGCACACAAAAGGAGTGCTCGTCAAATATATCTGGGCAATGCTGGGTTAAATGGAGAAAGTTTTGTTACTTTAGAACTCTTCAGAGCCTCAAATACACTGATGTGACTCTTGAAGAAGTGTGTGCGTGTGTGTGTGTGTGTGTGTGTGTATGTGTGGTGTTTCCAGGACTCGAGCAATCCAGAAAACACTTGATATAAAATATTTACTGTGAAGACTCAAAAATGTATTTATTAATTTTTTAGAAGAAAAGAAATCCATACAAATGGTTTAAAAAATTCAAAGAGTTCAAAATTATAAACTGAAACCATCTTCCCTCCGCCATCCTATGGACTGCTCCCATTATTGCTATGTTTTTGTGAGTTGTTCCAGGCTGGATTTTCTCTAGATGTCAGCATCCGTGAGTCGGTCTGAGATCTGTTTACACCAATGCCATCATATTACACAACAATGCTCTGTCCCTTTGCTTCTTAAAAAACATTACATGTTGGAGGTTGTTACATATCAGCCTACTCAGAGCTACTTCATTTTCTGCAACATCCATGCAGGCTCCCATGAAGATTTTATTTTATTTTATTTTATTTTAATTTATTTTATTTCCCATTTACAGTTGACATTCAATGAAGATTTTAAATAGACACAACTCCTTTAACTGCGTACAAATGGACGTTCAGTATACGGAAACCCACAATTGCTACATCTACAAAGCAAGAAACCATTCAAGAGGTATTGCCCGAAGACATATCTCAGAGTTCACATCCCTTGGCTGTGAGTTTCCTTAAATGAGCTTCCCTGACTGCTCCTTTATTAAAGCATTTCCATCCACTCTGGTGTATTGCTCCAGGTACTTCGCCCAGACCAAGTTAGTCGTTTCTAAAACCCAGTAGTTTCTACAGGGCAATGTGACATGGTGGGACCCTGGCTCGAGACCTCACTGCTCTTCTCTAGCTGTGTCGTTTGGAGCAAGGCATTTCCTCTCTCTGGACTTCATTTTCCTCTCCCATAAAAGAAAAGGAGCAATGCCTACCTCATGGGGCAGGTGTCAGTATTAAATATGAATGTTCCTTGGTCCATTCTTTGATAGGCATGGGCACCGGTGCAACAAAAAATGCTCAGAATATATGGTTCCTTCCCTTGAAGACCTTATTGTCTAGGGTGGAAACACCTAAATATCTAAAGGGCTCTCATAGGGTGGGGACAAGGTCCCACAGGTGCACTGAGAGGGTCTCCCCTGGTTGTACTAGGGTTGGGGGAAGCAGCCCTCCAGAGTGAAGGATAAGTGAGTTTCCAGGAGGACCATTAAAATGAGACTAATGTGAACTGAGCCATGCTAAGCGCATGATCTGCTTCAGCCTCATAACAAAAGGGGGGGGTGGGAGGGGAAGGGCAAGACATGTGGAAGTGCTTTGAAAATAGCTTAGCAATTATTTCCTGAGACTCAGTTTTATCACCTGTAAAATAGGGACAACAATAATGATCTCACTGGTTATTGTAAGGGTTCAATGTGATCATGGCCGCGAAGCACTCAGGATAGCGCTGGGCACTATTCTAGCAAGAACCGAAGAAGTCATAGGTAGTAGTAATATTAGGCCCATGCAAAGAAATGCACATTTCTAGAGTGTCAGCTATGTGCCAGATTCTGTGACTAGGTACTGTGTATGAATTTTTTTTTAATTTGATGCACAACCCAACCAAAGAGGAGGGTATCCTTCCCATGGGACTTGGGACATATCAGTGTGCTCTGTGGAGCTCTGGGTAAGATGCAATGGTGAGGATTGCAGCCACACGTTCCCTTAAAACATAGTTATCACAGCACCTACCTTCTGTGGTTCCATTCTGAGCTGAGTTCCTTGTGAGTCCAATCCATCATTCGCTGTCCTGGGAGACGTGCCTCTGTAGAAGCCGCTGGGTGCCTTCATCATGAATAAAGACCAAATGGCCTCCTTGCCCCTCACACCAGCTCTGTGCACTGTAGAAGGAGCAGCCGAGAGGCACAAATTCATAGCAAGAGTCTCTGAAAGGCACTCGTCTCTTAAAGCAAAAGCTACCCCCTTCTGGCTTAGCAGTAGTGGTCAGAAACCCCAGCACAAGCCCCAGGAGTACCAAGCTTATTGCGTTCATCCTGGAACCACTGCTGGCGAGTCTGGATGGAGCTGGCTCTCAGTCCTTCACACGCTGTTGCCTTCACAACCATCTGCCATCCATCCTTCCTTCTCTCTTTGCATCTAATTATAGCAACTACCTCTTGTTTAAGAAACAAAGACTCGGGGTGAATGTGTCTGCCGTTTTTTGCTTCCCCCAAGCTCTTTGTTTAATGCCAGTTCCAAAGCCAATTAATTTGCAAAATGGTCTTCTAGAGGAAGATAAAGCTGCTGTATCACCTGTCTGCTTGTCATTCAGTCAACTGTTAGCTTCTGATAAAAATTCTTTGCTATGGTTTTATACCATTTACCCTTGAAGGCCAAATGCATCATTAAAAGCTGTCAGCATGTGGGAAGTATGTGATAAAAGAAAAATGGCAGGGAAGCTAGAGTTATGGGATTGTAAAAAAAAAAAAACACCAAGTTGCACTTGTATCCAATCTTATTGTCTAGAATGGTCGCTGTGCCCAAATGATAACCATATTCTCCCCAGCATGACTTACATCCTAATGGAGATTTTTTTCCCCCCTTCTGATTCGTCACATCATTACTTATGCCTGTTAGAGAATAAAATTTTCCTACAAAATTTATTTGATGTCATCATGAAAATAAGCCTTTAAAACTTCAAACCTTCCCCTCCTCATCCAATGTCTAAACCCTCCAATGGGTGTCTGTGATCTACGGATCAAGTTCAAACTTCTTAGCTTTGCTTTCAAAACTCTGTATGAACTGACCCCTGACAATTACTTCCAAACACACCCCTCAAAATGTGGGAAACTGGGCTCTCTTACTCATTGCCAATGGAAGTGTAAATTGGTACAACCTCTATGGTGGGCAGTGTGACAAAACCTACCAAAATGTAAAAAGCACGAGCTCTGTGATATAGCAATTCCACTTCTAGAAATTTCACCTACAGATAAATTTGAACATATGTGAAATGTGACATGTTATTCATTACAGAATTTTATAAGAAGGAAAAATTGGAAACAACCTAAAGGTCCATTGATAGGAAACCAGTTAACAAAATGTGGTGCATCCTACATACTCACTGAAAAATGAACAAAATCTTTGTATACGCATTTGGAAGGATCTCCAAGATTTTTGCAAATATTAAAAGCAAAGTATGAGACCTTGTTGATGGCCTAATGCCATTTACATAAAAACATATGGATATTTATTTGTATGTGTATGAGATATCTTGTAAAGGACATACAAGAGCCTGGCCATAGTTATTGCTGGGTGGGGGAACTAGGTGAGTGGGAGACAGAAGAGGGAGCAGACTTGTTTCATTGGCCACCTTTTTTTAAACTTCTCTATTTTGCACCATGTGACTGTATTACCTATACAAAAAAAATTAAATTCTTTTTAAAGAAAAAACCTCATAGGCCTATCCTCTCCCCCACAAGCTCAAAGTTACAGCTCTTCCTGTCATAACTAATTGCTCATGACCATTCTTCACACCTTTGTGTGTTCCTGTGTTGTCCCCTCAACCATGAACCCCTTTCTCCCTGGTCCTTCCCTGATCACCTTCAAGATTCAGCTCAAATCTCACTACCTTTGTGAACTTGGTAGAACTTGGCTTACACAATATGCTTCTCTCCTCTGAATTTTGTTTTTCTTTTCTAATGCCAGCTTTACTAAGATGTAATTCACATGCCATACAATTCACTCATTTAAAGTGTTCAAGTCCATGTCTTTGAGTATATTCACAAGGTTGTACAACCATCACAACGATCACTTTTAGAACATTTTTGTCACGCTGAAAGGACATGCATTAGCAGTTACACCCCATTTCCTCCCCTCCCCCCACCAGCTCCTGACAACCACTAATCTACTTTCTGTCTCTGTGTTTGTCTGTTCCACACATTTTATGTAAATGGAATCATACATATGATGAGGACATTTATGTGACTGGCTTCTTTCACTTTAGTACAGTGTTTTCAAGGTTCATCCATGTTGTAGCCTGCATCAGTGATTCATTCCTTTTTGTTTTTTGTATTTTTTTTTGACACTCAATTAAAGTTTATAGAATAATAGTTGAATGAAGGGTTTTCCAGAACTAATAAATCCCCGCCTTTGTTTGCCTTCCTGAATAATGTGTGTTGTTCATGTAACTTTCAAAATTAATTAAATTTCCCCAAATTACTATGTTACTTTAGTGGTGGGGGGAAAAAAAGTTGTTTTAACTACTAGTACCAGAGTTCTTCTTGGAAACCTTTTCTTTAGGAAAATACCTACCTAGGCCATTTGGACGGGGATAGGGGAGACACCAAGGGCATGGTTTATACTGTTGCAACAAAAACAGCGCTGGCGGAAATGGTCTGCATAAGAAGTTAGTAATACGAGGCTAGAGAAGGTAGCCATACCATGTGGTGGGATCCTGGAGAACCTTCAAAAAAGGTATCCGGTAAACAGTTTCTCATGGCAGGATGGCCACAGAGTTTAGAGAACGCAGTTGTCTAATATTTGATTTTAAGTTGTTACCTTGCTCCGATATGTCTTTTTTTCTTCTTTTTTTGCTCCCTACCCCTTTGTCCCCAAACCTCTGGCACTCACTACCATCTATCACTATGGATTTACCTATTTCAGACATTTCATGTAAATGGAATCATACAATATTTGGCCTTCGTGTCTAGCTTCTTTCACTCAGCATAATATTTTCAAGCTTCATCCATGTTGGAGCACATATCAGCACTCCATTCCTTTTTATGGCTGGGTAATATCCCATTGTATGGCTAGACCACATTTTGTTTATCCATTCATCCACTGATGGACATTTGAGATGTTTTATTCTGTGAGTTTCTTGAAGGGAAAGAATAATGTCTCTTAAAATCTCTGTCTGTCCCATGGTTGGCACATAGTAGGACTCGATGCACATTTGCCAGCCTGGCCCCATCGCCTAGGTCCCTGGGGCTGACACTGGCACCCCTTCCTTTTCCAGAAACCCTTCCAAGTCCTCTGGAGTAGCCCTACCAGACAGAGCCCGGGGCAGGATTTGATGTCATCGCTGACTCATAGGCTTGGCAGAGCTGGCCTCTTATCTCCGGAAGCCAAGCCTCTAATGACTTCTATTAGAAAACTATGTGGAGGGCCTCACGCAGAGATAATGTATCTCTTTGGGTAAAGGCTTAATTTATGTCACTCATGGAACATGCTTGGAGACATTTGATAAGAAACCCATTCTGCAGGCTAAATTCCATTTTTGACATTCTTTACATTCTGATAAATTGCATACTCCTGGACCCGGAAGCCGGCCTGGTGATGTCAGCTCCCGATGTGCCTTAACCTCTGCGTACATGAAGAAAGGAAGCAGGACATGGCTGGACACGTGTGAGTGTGTTTCCAGTGATCGCATGCAGCTGTCTGGGTCACCTAACCCTGATTTTCAAGATCAGCAAATAAAAACAGAAGGCCTGAGAGTCTGGTTTAAACAGAATCACGAAAAGAACCATAAAGTTGCCCATGTCCTGTGGCCCAGACATCCCAGTCCTGGGACTAGACCCATTTTAGGTTGGGTTCCCCCAGAAGCCAACTGAGACAAGAATGCAAGTGCCAGCAGTTTATGTGAGAGAGGATGCTGGATATGGGGGGAGTACGTTGCTCTTTATGAATTGGTGTTTTTAGTTGGTCGTGGTGAATCTTTGCCCTCCATTTGCTTGAAAAGACAACAAAGCAAAAGAATTCTCATGGTTCCACTACCCTAATACATTTTCATTTCTTTGTGGTTCCTTTGAATGTTTCTTGCCTTGAAGCTAGGTGTTTACCCAGGCATAACCGTAGTGTGTGTATAATTAGTTGATATTGCATTCTGCGTGTCCCACTTAGCATGTGATGATAAACCTTTTTTCCATGTTGCTCAAGGGCTTTGAAATTGGCCTGGTGGTGGCTGTGCCTCCTTTCTCTGAATGGGCATTACTCAACCATTCCCACGTTGCTAGATATTTTGTGTGGTTTTCGTCATCTGTTTGTCATGTGTTCAGTTTTGCTATTCTAGTCAATGCTGCTGGGGACATCTTGCACTTACCCTTTAGCCTGGGCTGAGGGAGCGCCTGAGGGTTGTAGTAGGCGCTGTCAATGTCCCACCTTAACCCATCACACTTAACAATGTAAGGCTTCTAAATGGGAGTGCCTGTGGTTCTTTGTCTCTCTTTGCATAAAAGGGACAGGATGAAAGTATCTGGAAGTTAGCGCCTCTCGGGAGAAAGTCTCACTTTTGATTGACTAGAGTTGGTGGACCAATCTCCCAGCTCCCTCAGAATAACTCTGAGGCGTGTTCACACCATCTCCAGAGTCCCCCAGCCAGACTGAATTTCAATTGCCCGTGATGGTAATGGCCTTGATAATGCACCTAAAGTCTTCTCTCCCTGTTTCACTTCCCCGCTCTGCTACTGGCCTTTCCTAGGTTCACCTCCCAAATGAACCATGTGCACTTGAATCCTTGTCTTGGGGTCTGCTTCTAGGAGAGCCCAAGTTTAGACAGGTCTGTTCCCAGGACTGTGATGCTGGCCCACAGGGCGTGAACATCTTTGTGATTCTTGGCTATGGACTCAATGCCTATTTAAACCAAATTAATTATCTTTCTGTTGTTCATGCTGCTGATCCCACGTGAAGACTCACGCTGCCGGATCAAATCCTGGGAAACACGCTCGCACAGCTGAGCTGTGTCCTGTATACTTTCCTGGTTTGAATTCTATACTTGGGGACCATCTCTCAACAACTGATAATGACCTCAGTCATTGGGATGATGAGCAGTGTTCTCTCAATGTTTTAAACATGTATGTAGGTGAGCCCCCCATGTTTGTTCACATATGCTAAGTTGTTTGCTTCTATGTAGTGGCTGGTAAGCTGAGTCTTGAGTGACGAGCCAGGAAGAAAGGGGTGGAGGTTGGAGATTACTGGAAGGGTGTCTCAAGGAGAGACCCCAGAATGCCAAGTCCTTATTTCTTGTCAGTACCCCAGAACCAACATAAACTATAATAC